CGGGGGGGGGGGGGGGGGGGGGGGGGGGGGTCCGGCCACGTTTTCGTTATACGCGAAGTAGCATGGAAACTCCACTGAAATGAAAGGTCAAAATCATAAATACGCCAAAAGCTATATGCTTAATAAATATTTTTAGCTTCTTTAACGCCATTAATAATTAATATTAGTACCTTAAAGGTTTTGATTAATCATACTGTTCATTGAAATTCCAACCCCAGATCACAAGATTATGTTTCCATTTTATTTTAAAACGTAATTAGCATAAAACGTCCTTATCTTACAATGTTATTGTATAAAATGTTCATACATTTTATTTTATTTTTGTACTTTTACCTATATCTTCACCTTTTATTGCGGAAATCATCATTTTCATCAAATTTCTCGTGTAAAATAACAATTATACCCATTGTTTAAATAAAACAATAAAAAAGAAAAGAAAAGTTAAAGAATAAATTGCAATCATACTCTCAAACTTTTTAAAAGTGCGAATGAGTCCAAATAAATTATTAAAATGGTAATTATCACAAAACATCTATACCTTTCATCTTTTGACATTTTCACCATTATTTCATATTTCATTACGAAAATCATTATTTTCATCCATTTTTTGAATTAAAAGCTGTAAAATAACAAGTATACACCCCTCTTTAAATAAACAAAAATAAATAATTAAAAAAAGTGATTTGTTTTGTACTAATTACTCTTTTGATAATTTATTTGGACTCATTTGCACTTTTTAAAAAGGATTGGAAGTATGATGGGAATTTATTCGTCAACTTTTCTTTTCTTTTTTATTATATATGTTTATCTTATACGAGAAATTTGTAGAAAATGATGATTTCCGCAATAAAATGTAAAGATAAGGGTAAAAGTGCCAAAAAAATAAAAAGTAGAAACGTTATGCACAACAACATTGAAAAGTAAAGACGTTTTGTGCTAATTACCCTTATTTTAAATGCATACAAAGTAACTCGTAGCTTTTTAATGTTCAATATTATTCACTCACATTATACCATTGATTCAAACATTCCTTCGTCTAATTAACCGAATCTTCAATTGTTTGCTTGACAGTAAATCGACTACACAATATTAAAATAGAATTATTATTATTATTATTATTATTTTAAAATTTGAACTCAAGCTCGAAGACCTAGCTATTCATTTAAATTTCTCAATCTTTGCTCACTGTACCCTTATATCTTTACCTTTAATTTTTAAATATTTTTATCTTTAACATTTTATTAATTAGTACATCTCGCACCGGTGCTTAGCTTATGTTAAGCACCGATGATATTTCATTCACTAATTAAATGTCGTGTCATGTCACCGATACTTAATATAAGCTAACCACCGGTGCGATCATTTCCATATATATATATATATATACACACACACACAATCAAAGACAAGATATACTAATTAATAGTATGCTGAAAATAAAAATTCGACGAAGAAGTATTGACGAAAGATTTACCATGAGCAAAGATTGAGAATAAAAACTCGACGAAGAAGTATGGACAAGAGTTATACAATGAGCACAGATTAAAAACATCCCGTGCAATTAAAATATGGTGGTACTAATAAAAATTAGATTGTGATTATAATTACTTTATTATTTATTATGTTACTAAGAGTCAGTTTGGTAGAGCTTTTGAAAAGTCACAAACTGTTTTTGTACTAAGACATTTCTTTTGAACATTTTTGATAATTTTCTAAAAATATTTTGTCAGATTAGAAGAGATTTTTAAAAAAATTGGCCTAAAGTAACTTTTTCTATTGGAATTTTTTTTTACAAGAAGCAATCTTGTTTAAACACGAAGAAAGAGCGTAATTAACTTGATAATCTTTTTAATTGAACCTATCGAGCAAATGCATCAATGTCATGTCACATGAGCCTAATGAGCATTTTCATTAACAATGTTATTCTGTTGTCCCACAAATCAAATATCTTAGAAGCTAATACATGACTTTGTAGACAACTTTGAGAGAGAAGCCAGTGATGAAAGGTAATTTGATCACTTGTCCATCATCATTACAATCAAAAAGCTAATCTTTGTTCAAATTCTTTTAAAATAAATTCAACCAGGCAAACATTATTTTAGCATGTTGCTTTAATAATACATAATTGGATTATGCTATTGAACATTAAAAAAAAAAAAATACATAAGAAATTATATAAAATGATGTGGAGGGAAGAGATTGAATAAAAAAGTAGATTATGTTTTAAACTGACAAATGATAGAGTGATATGTGACAACCCATTATGTAAAACTTGGTGTACATATAGCAAGGCCCTATATAATTTCCCTAATGGTGGTCCTAACCATATGCTTAGTTATAGTACCTCATAGCTTTTGAACATGTTTCGCACGTAGGATTAAATTATCCCATGCATGCAGTAAACATCAAGAGTATGCTTGCTCAGGATTAATGGAGCTAAAATAATCTAATTAGTGATCCTACCGCATTACAACATTCGATAGAATTTAACATTAACTATCAAACTAGAGTAAGCCGCCTCCTCTATTCGAGCTTGTGACTGCTATTAGAAAAATTGGAAAATTTAACTATTGATCCCACCATATTCTTCGAAGTTAGGCTGTGTGTTTCTGATGCCAGTTTAAAGATATAAAAGAAAGGGCCCTCATGATTCGTTTACAATTTAATCATCAAAGTGTTGATGCCTCTCAAGTGGCTAGCATGTGTTCCTTCTCATTGAATTTTGAGGCCAATCTCTAACCAATCTACTCATCTACAGAAACAAAAAATGTCCAATGGGTCCTCTTCCACCTCCAACAATTTATTTTATTAAAAATCAAAGTTGGCTATTCATTATCCTTTCCAACTGTTATATGTCATCAATAAATCCTCTTTATTTGGGGAATTTTAGTGAGAAGACATAAAGAAACTGCACTCGTTGTCATAGATGCTAATATAATTGAAAGTTACATGTAATATGGGACAATCCAACCAGTGGTAATGATTAAGGGAGAATTCTTTTGTTCCTAAAAACATTTCAGTTTATTTTTGGACATACAACTCCAAGCAGTTACTTTCAGAGTCCTTATGTGCTATATGTTGGCACTTGGCAGGATAGAATCGAGAAACATAACATGCATGTTTGCTACGCAATATTCAACAAAGTAACGAACAACATTTTAGCTTATTTTTCTTCCAATCCTCCCTAAAAAACACGCCAAAAGAGACTTTATGTTGAATACTTGATGTTTATTTATACCTGAACAAAGTAGCCTTTCAGTCATTCAATCACACTCAATTGCTGAAGCCATAGCTCTGAATCAAATGGATCCTAATTGTAAGCCAACACTTACACAAGCACATCCCGAGACAATGGATTTTCTTTCTCAAGCTTGGTGCAACTTCGCCATTCAGGCTCTCCAATCAGATGTACAAGATAGATCAATCATTCTTCAAGAGAGATCCCTCATGAAATTTGAAAATGATGCTAAAACTCCTTCCATGGTGAGTTAACTATGCCTCCACAAAACACTGGCATCAATTCATACATGGAATGCAAGCTGTGATTTCATATGTAGAAAAATAAAAATATTTTCAACTTGCAGAAAATGGAAGGGAGTGTAAAGATGGATGGTGCAGACAAGTTTGTGCCACCTTGGAAATCCCATGATGTAAAGGTAACAGCTAAACCTAGAAAATTGTGTATGTATCAACTTATTTATATCCATATTAAATTGAAACTAATGTGATGATTTTGAAACGTGAATTCCCTTGTGCTTAGACACGAATAAAGCATCAATAACAGATGCATTGACAAAATCTTGTCTCCTTTTCCTCAGTCATGGATTTGGATGCAACAAGCAATGCACCCAGAATTAAACTATAATAGCTATTTCAGAAGGAAATGGGTAAGTCCTCATCTGCTGCTCTGTATTAGAATTTGGTTCTGATAGTACTCTAAATATCTGATATTTTACATGCAGATGTCATGGAAAATAATGCCATTCAAACACTCATCAATCAAAAAATGGCTTAAAGAAATTAAGCAGAAGAGAAAGGAAGAACACAGGTTACAAAAAGCAGAAATACACGCAGCAGTATCAGTGGCGGGTGTTGCAGCTGCCTTAGCGGCACTAGCTGCTGAAAACTCAAAACTGGAGAACACAATAACTGCCAAAGATTCGGCCATGGCTTCTGCAGCTGCCTTAGTGGCAGCACAGTGTGCAAAAGTGGCTGAAGCAATGGGGGCAAAGAGGGAGCAACTCAGCAGTGTAATAGGTTCAGCCATGAACGGCACGAGTGCAAGTGAAATTTTAACACTCACCGCAGCAGCTGCAACATGTAATGAATTATACAGTACTTAGTATAAATTGTATGCACACACACATATGCATATTCCTGTCCTTTGCATCCTTCAAATCTTGCAATTAGAGTTCTTTTGAGCACATTCTCATGTAAATCATTATTGTACCGTCTTCATTTGTCATTTAGAATTTCTCTGGATTATAAATTTTAATTCAACTCTTGATTAACCTCGTTGCAGCACTAAAAGGAGCTTCTACACTCAAAGCACGATCAGGATACAAAAACAAATTAAATGAAAGTGCTCCGGTGCTGCCACTCGAGGATAACAAGGAATCTGATTTTGATTTTGAGAAGTGTAAATGTATTCTATCAAAGGGCACAGAACTTAACATCGAGACCACAGATGGTATGTTGATATTAATAAGCACAAGTTATATGCAGTTTCTAGTGATACAATAGAAACTATGCTGTTTATGATTGGTTGATAAAAATAAAAAGGAAAATAGAGGAATAGATACACTTCTCACTAGGGAACATACACAGGTTTTATACCACCTTTCTTGAGGAGTAGAAAGAGTCATTTTTTGAGTACTTCCCTGAAAGTTGCTTCCTAGAAAGTTAATTAAATAGTTTCATTGTGTAACCTCCATTTATCACCTTCAATAGAAAAAATTATATCAAGAGGGTAAGTACCCCTTCAATTCTACTTCCGCTCATCATTTTCTTGTTTATGAAACAAGGTAAAGAATTTGATTTACCACCAGTTCTACTTCCCATCTCATTTCTCGCAGGAACCAAACACACTTCTGGCCATATTCCCAATTCCTTCCTAATTACCGACTTTTCTATCTAATTTTCAGGGTACTGATATCTATGAAATTTCCAATGTTGTATAAAACTTACTTGGAGAAAACCTATGATGAGTCAAAAGATTTAATAAAAGGCAAACTTTCATTTCAGAAACACTTTTCACAAAATTAACTATAAGTTATCTATTCCTTCTTATGACTCACATGGAAACAGGAAGGTACTTGTTCAGGTCGGTAGCAGCCACACTCAATAGTGAAGCTAAGGTATGAGAATTTCCTTGTATGTAATCCTGACAATTTACTGTTATGGCTTTAACCAAGATATTTCCATCACAACATGAGTGATACAGAGATTTCCAAAATTAACAATAAAGCTCAACTAATTCTATTCGAAAGAGGAAAGAAAAGAAGTGACAAGTCAAACTACTCGACAATAGAGTTAAAAATAAAATTTGTATCAGATGAGAACATGGATTTTAGGTATCATAACCTGAGATCTTATTCTGTATTACTACAGGTTATTCTCAAAATAAGGAATCCAAATGTGCTGAATGCTTTCACAAGACCAAAGGAAAGTATGTTCTTTTTCTAAAGATATTAATTACAGTTCACCATGTTTCAATTTTCATCCTTCAATAAGATGATTTTACTAATTGTCTTCTTTCCATTTAGAAAACTGATTATGGTTGTAGATTACCTATGTAACATTTAATTCAGAATTGAATACAAAAATGTATGTGATTGCACTTTTCATTAGGTATTGTTCTTGACCTACATACCGAGTTATATAAAGATTCAGAAGGAGGTGAAACTGAGACTTGCTATCTTCTCGTACTAACTACAAACAAAGGGATGATCAAGCTAGACATGGTTGACGACTATCAACGTTACAAGACATGGTCCACAACTATCAATCATATGCTAATGCTCTCAACTTCATTTACGGGATATGAACTTCAGTTCTACAAAAACTGAATTTTATACAAAAACTGAATTTTATGCAGTCATCATTTGTCCCTTAAATTCTTGGTATGTAAGTGTGGCTGATAATATTCAAAACTGAAACGTCCATATTTGTTGATATGTTCAATATGAATATCCGTATCATCACAGAATTCAATCTTCGACAAGCTATTGAACATTTTCATCTTCATGAAAGAACATTAACAAGTGTTTGTTTCATCCATCCAAAACTATATCATCGTGCTGAACTTGATTTTTAGACATACACATAATTGTATGTAAATGGAGTTCAAATAATTTCTTGTAACATGTCACCATCATACAAACTTTACATATCAGATTGAAGTCGCATTATTTGGCTCAGTAGTGATAAATGAACAGCTAGATAATGCAAAAATATTTATATTACTCAGTTATTGTAGAACAGAATTATCACAATGCTGATTTAAGGCATTTAATTTCTCAGTTGTAAATGATAAAATACTACATAGTAGTATTTAGAAACTTAAAAAACATTGAATCAGAAAGGGCATAATCAAAGGAAACAGGAAAATTTCACCAGGTTGTCATCTAAGGTAGCAACAATGAAGAATAGAAAGTCCACCTTGGCTCTTCTCAGGTTGTCAACATTTGCATATTCTTAGTAACTTGTCCCAAGAAATATTGAGCAGATTGAAAAAATAATAATAAAAAAAATAAATAAATAAATAAATAAATAAGGCATTATTCTGCTATAAATATCTGCATGCATCATGAAACATTAACTTAGGTTGTCAAAGCTATTGTGAAATGATGCAACAAACATGATAAGCACTTAAGAATCAAAAAGAATCTTTATCTACTAAAATATTGTACAATGCATGAAATTTGCATGAGAACTAATCCTTTTTTCGGAAAACAATCAAGTTCACTCTTTCAGAGAATAAAAATGCTCAATGAATTCTGACCAGTATGTGTACAGCACCAATTGGCCATCACAATATCTTCAACTGAGATCTAGACCAATTGTTCCAAATCATACATTAAAAGAGAGAACTTGCACCTCCAACTCTAAAATCATCAAGATTAAATATTCAAAAATAAATGAAAGCCATACATAACCCCAAAAAAGCTCTTGATCATAATGACAGAACTTGACAATGAACGAGAATTGAATTGAAAAGTCTATATATTTGTGCAGAATCACTGGCCTTGGTAAGCATAAACAGTAACTGATGCCTGTAACTCTCGATCAACCTTGAAGTGAGCATGAAAGAACCTCTTTATCTGCTAATATAGAAACCAAATCAGAATTTCCTAACAACACGCCAGGAAAATGTGAAGAACTCAATTTCTAAAGAATCGAGCATTACTGAATGTAAAAAATTCATTATTGACCTCATGGAAATTATGCGAAACTAGAAACTCTTTTAGTTGTTTTTCCTGGGAGTCAAATAGTACAATGTGACTAGGTAAAGACCAATTTTTTGCGTACTCAGTTGCAAAACCAACTGGATCCATCAAAAACTGGTCTGACTCATCCAGGATCCCTTTCTCTTCACTGTCAAATATCAAGAAAAATTGAACTCATACATAATATAAATCAAAAAACTATATTAAAAGATCGTTAAAACGTGTTGACACGTAATTTTAGTACCTTGGTGTACAATCCAGGAAACGCATAGGAAGGTTACGGTGCAGGGTTGAGTAGTAAGGTGTAGCATGGCAAGGCATCAAGAAAAGGATACTTTCCACTTTATTATTAGCAGCCTCTACGGAGAGATAGTTCATGACATCCTCAGTTCCCCTCTGAGAACCACATTAGCATATAAGAACACCAAATGGAACATATAATTAGCATGTGTGGGTGCATACTTATTTTAATTATGAGAGAGAAAAAGTAGGAGTCTTGATACTTTTTCTCTCCCCTTACAAGAAAAATAAGCATGCACCCAAACATGCTCTACATCAATCGCTTATTCGCTTTGCTAAACTGCATCTGATGATGTCCATTTCACGAGCTTAATAATACATTTATCTACTTATTTTGGGGAAATCAGAGAATTAAAAAACAAAAATAAAGTTGGATTCCTAAAGAGTAAGTAATCAGCATCAGCAAAGTACCTGATGGACCATGTTCATGTATAAGGCCATTGGGAGATTGGTAACAAGCAGGAAAAACATAGACAGGCGTACTTTTGTGAAGCAATTTATATTACTGCCCAAATTTTCTTTCATTTTGCTTTCTAACGGATCAGACCCCCTCATTTTGGCTAATGCAAACCCAGCAAACATCAAAGCAATTGGAAGCACAGGAAGGACAAACCTGTTATATGAAGTCTGATAAGAAAATTACAAAAATTAATGACAGAAAGGTGAAGACTGGCTCTGAATCACAGAAGCCCAAATGTAAAGTATGATATTTACCTGAATTCTTTGTGGCCTATTAGACTATAAATTCCTAAAACCCAGGCAATCAACCCCGAAAGCTTCCATTGCTTAGACATGATAATGCCAGAAATTGAAAATGGTATGAACGTGAAGAGCATGGCCGTGAATCCCTGGGTGATGTACCAGTGCCAAGCATGAGTTCCATAATAGTCTCCACCAGAAGAAAGGAAATTAAACTTCAGAAAGTTTAGAGGAACAAGGACCCATGAGCCGTACATCAAACGATCCAACAGAGAAGTGAGACCAAGTACCAGACCCCTGATATTTATGTTCAGAAAAAGTAATCATCACTTGTTTTTTTACATTTTTTAATTATGAATTTTCAATGACAAAGAGACATAGGGATGGATAAGCATTAATTTATAATATTCACAAATCCAATACAGATTTCAACACAACATCTTTAACTGGTCTAGATATACATTTGGACATCAACCAAATAGCATGAGATAAGTAAAAACTATTCTTTTTTCGTAGAAGTTTTGAAGTTTGAGATTCCTCTGCATTATAATAGTGCTGATGGATGATTCACTTTTAAATACCCTCTCACTAATCCGAATTCCTAATTTTGCATTGTCATGTTATCTATCTGATATGGTAGTCTACGTTCCTATCTATTTTCTTATGCTAAAGGAATATGCCAATTAAGGGACATGCTACTAAAATAACAATTAAACATTGTTGGTCCAAGTTCAAGCAAAAATCATCAACTTTTACTAGCTTCACCAGAAGCAATGACAACGTGTGGGGCAGAGGAAGTTGTCGTTCCCACTTACCCAATAGGAACCGCTTCAAGAAGAATGAATTTGAGCTTATCACATGTCAAGTATAGTTCTAGCAGGGCAACATAAACCCATGTTATAGCACTTGTTGGTCGAATAGCACATGCTAGTGCTGCTGCAGCCAATGCCAACTTTCTTGAACCAGAAGAAACACTTCCGGAAGGCCTTCGCAAGGAGGGCCAATAGTACAAGCTCACGAGTGTGAGGACAGTCTCCATACTATTAGCTAAAGTACGTGTGATGCAAAAAAGCATAAACCAGTTTACCAACTGTGCAAAGAGCTGATATTGAGTTAAGTGCTTCATAATCATCATCAGTTGCAATAATATACGAAGCTATCGATTTAACCAATCAAAGAAGAGTAGGTACAAACTGTACAAAATTTACCAATTAAAAAACAGAAGGTGGTATTAATGGGAGAAGAGAAGAAAGAGTAGGAAAGAAAATGGCATATAGCAACGCAAGGATACTGCCCATTTTGCAACATGGTTGCCAAACAATACCTGAGAGAACTTGTACAAATAGAGATCACCGATTGCAGAAAATAAGGATTGCAGCAATCGTGGAGCCCTTGTCTGCAAAAAATGGCAGTAATTAGAAGATACACAAAGTGCTAAATATTCATTGTTTCAAAAAAAGCAATATAATAAACAAGTGCTAAATATTCATTGTTTCAAAAAAAGCAATATAATAAACAAGCAAAATCACATCAAATTGTTTCTTAGATTGTTGCACTTGCTACATTGCTTTCCCATATTGAAGTCCAACATAGAAAATTCAAGACAATATGATCAAGCACTACAAAATTTCACCATAAAAGTCAAGATATAAATCATATTTCATCAAGAACTTTAAGAAGATAAATATATTTGGAATTATGTGATGATTTATGAAGCATGGATAGATTACATGCTTGAATGTTATTTGCGCAAATAAATTAAGTTTAGCATTATAAAATATGAGTTGGTTCGCATGTTTGATAGATTGGACCAATAGAACTTAGATCCTAAACCCAAAAATTATTACATTATACATTCTTAAACCAAATTTAGAATACTTTGGGCATCATTTTACTATCATAGGAAAATATGGATATCAATAGGGATTTCAAGTGTGTAAACTCTTGTGTAATTGTCTAAGGCCAAATGAATATTAGGTAAAAATCTTTAGTTAGGGGTCAATTTATGAGAATAAGTATTTAATGAGGGACATTGCACTAATTACGACCAAAAAAACCTCATTGTGAAACCCTCTTCGTAGCCTTTATAACTCAAGTGATTAAGTCCGCAATGGTAATTAAAATCTGGTGCCCTACGGTCATTTGATTTAGAAGTCATCAATTTAAAACTCACTATATGGGTCATTTTAGAAAGATTAATAGAGAGAAATTTGCGCGCGCACACACACATCTATAAACATTTATTTCAGACAATTAGATTTTTAACAATGGATTATTAGCCTAATTGAGTCTTGAATGTTGACACAATCAAAAATTTAGAGAATACTTATTTGTTGATATATTGACTTGCAATTTGTTAGATCCATCTAGACTAGAGTGTGTGAGAGTTAGTATAAAAATTCAACTTTATGGCACCCCTTGGGAGAAGAGTAAAAAAAGAATAAGCTTGAAGGTATGTGAAACTCACGAGTGATGAAAGAACAAATTTGGCCATTAAGGGTCGAAAATTGAAACAACTTGTGATATTATAATATTTTACTTAATTCTTCACACAAACATAATTTTGCATTAAAGAATTGGATTTTAATTTTGATATTATGACCTTGAAGTTGTCAATAAATTTAATACAATGATTTTAATCTTGAGACAAGACGACATGTTTTCTAACGAAAATATTGTTGCATGTTCGTTTGTTTGTTAAGTTAAGTTATAGTTTTGTTTGAGCACAAATAAATGTTTAAATTTGGAGGATATTTAATAAGTATATTTTGTACACTTATTCATACTTTAAAATATTAATATTTCGCTGTTCTTTTGATAAATTCAAAGTAATCTTGTGTATAAAACTTGATGATCAAAAAAAAAAAAAAAAAGGTGAAAAACATAAAACTACCTATCCTATGAAAAGATGAATTCCCCAAAAACCTAGAAATTGTGAGCGTGCGAGAGAAATGTGGAAAATGAATTGGTTGGAAAATTTTGACTATCAAACAAGACAAAAGTGGGAAATGAAATTTGTTTTCCATTTTCCAAGAGAAATTTTGGGCCTATAAAACATAGCCATTGAATATTTTTAATGAAATAGTAATTTTTATATGAATTTTCGATTGTAAAGTATTTGATATTTTTATTCTAAAGTGGCATGATATGTTACTTTTGATTCTTTTGAAATCAAAAGCGATGAATTTTATGTGAGATAAGTATCATTTAAAAGTCCATTTGAAAATTAAAAATAGCTCGAATTCATTTGGAAAAATAACTCTTGCTTTACATGTGATTGTGATTGTTAAGGTACAAAAATAAGGAGTTTAGCAAGATCATTTAGCCATTGAACTTTTAAATATTTTATAGTTAAATTTCTATATAAGCAACATCATATGTCATTTTCTATTTCAAAATTGACACATTTTTAGTATTTTTTATTTCAAAAAGTAAAAATGGCATAAATAATAGTTTCTAATATGTATTCTATTCTATTGTAATGAGAATATCGAAAGACAATTCAAAATAAAAAAATCCAAACGCTCGTTTCACGAATCTTCAAACTTCTCATCTTTTGTGACTTTTTATTCATTATAACATTTGAAATGATTTCACTTCCTGCTTAATTCCTGATTTCTTCAACATTTATATTCGTGATATTGCTTCCATTTGCCTATATACTAAATGAAGATATCAATTTTATTCATATTTGCAATAATAATAATAATAATAATAATAATAATAATAAAATTAGAGAGTGTGCAACTTTCTTTTATGGAATGTATCACATTCAACAATTCAGCACCTTAATTCATTGTTTCTTGAAGATTCAACCTCTTTAATCATTCAGCCAAAATCTCATAGTAATAGTGTGAAGATGAAAATTGAGCCCAATAGCCCATGGTAGAGAGAAGTAGGGTTCTCTTCTCTATAGCAAATGATTTTACATTTTAGGTCCAAAAGAAAGTTTATACTCAAAAAGGATGTAAATTTCAATTTTTCCCCCAAATTGGAGGACACATTTTCAACTTCTTCATATTTGGGTCATATGAAGCCTAATTTTTCCTTCTCCTTCTTTCGCTTCATATTGGTTTGTTTGAACTCTATTTTTTGGAGAATAAATTTTGTATAGTCATTTTTTAAAGAATGTGTAGTTAACAGGTAGAATAAAATTTAAGTTTATGTGAAAAATTATGTTATTGAGAAAATATAGGATTGAAAATGAATTTTTAAAAAATAGAGCTCAAACATGGGTATTATTTTCTTTTATCTTAAGATAAATAACAAACTTTTTTGGAATTTTTTATTTGGATAAAAATAAAAACTAAAAATTGGGACACTTCACTATAATAAAAATAGCCTTTTGCAACACGCAAAAGGGATTGACATAATTGGGATTTGATAACATTTTTTAAATGCATGTTGCTAATATCTAGTAAGGTTCCTTGACTGGTGCAAAAAAATCTATATATTTCACATTTTTTGCAGTGTTCAATGATTGTTATTAAAACCTCATCCTATAGCAACATTTCTTGCATGTTGCTAAACAATTAATATGTGGCTCTTTATCAATGTCGTTGACAATTGCAAAAAGTTCAAATATTTCGCATTTTTTGCAACATTCAATGAACGTTGTTAAAACCTCGTCCTGTAGCAACGTTTTTTGCATGTGAGGACAAAAGGATATCCTTTCTGGACAAAAGGATAGAGCCAAAAATATATTGAAACTAGTACATTCTGATATGTGTGGACTTGTGAATACACTTGAGAAAAAGGATACCTTATGTGTTGGCAGTAGGTAGTTTCATGTATTATATGCTATGCAATAGACCTGACATTTGTAATATTGTTGGTGGGTGAGTCGAGATCTATTTAACTTTAGGATCGAAACATTGAATTGCGATAAAGCATATTTTTAAGTACCTCCGGAAAATAAGGAATTATATACTCCTCATCAGATCTTGTTTTTGATAGGTTAAAATGATTCAGACTTTCAAAGTGATGAAGACTATCATAGGTCTGCGTCGATATCGTTGTTTGCACTTGATGGTTGGGCCATTATTTGGAGAAGAATCAAGTAATCATGTATTGCTAATTCCACCATTAATGTTGAGTATTTAACAACTTGTGTTGCTACTAAATTAGCTGTATAACTTAGAAAATCCTTACAAATATCAAGGTAATGCTTGCATCTACACAGTTCTTTACACTGTAATGGGATTACAGTAGGACTATTGCAAATGCTAAAGAACTAAGAGTCATCGGAAGGGTAAACACATTAAACAAAAATATCATCTCTTAAGAAAGATAAATGATAGAAAAAATATGGTTGTCAGTAAGATTGCTACTGTGATAATCTTGTAGACTCGTTTACTCAAAGCCTATCAGTTAAGGTTTTCAAGAGACATCTACAAGATATGAAGTTACAAGGCATGACACATATACTCTAGGGCGAGTAGGAGATTTGTTGGGTTGTGTGCTCATATAGTATATTTTGCTATGATAAAATATTAATTTATAACAAATAAATTGTTGTTTTATTTATTTATTGCATTTATTATTGAGTATGTGAATTAAAGTGCCTATGATTATTTGTAATAATATAAGTTCGATACTTGTCTGGAGAAGCATTGTATAACAGAACTTATATTTTGATCATAAATAATCTGTTCACAACCAATTTATAAGGGTTGGCCCTTATACTGAAATGGTGTAATGTTGACTGATTCACCATCGAGATTTGTGATTTATCCTTAACACATAAATAGTTAAAGGTGACATCAGTACACTTGGAGTTATTGAATGGACCATGTGTCGAGTTTAATTATGTAGCATGATCATGTGGAGAATTAAGTTCCACTTGATTGTTGTGTATTTCATCTAAATCTCTCTACAGGGTTATGTATATATTTTTATGATTTTAGTGGTTCTTTGATTCATCAACTGGTGAGATCAATTTGATTAGTCAGATATCTTGATGAGTTGAGAACTTGAGAGTGAGCGAAGTAGATGATATGAATTCGTGTCGGGAATCGTCATCCTGAAAAATGGGTAGAGCCACTACTTAGGTATATTCTGTTGAACAGTAAAATCTGAGTTCAATGTTTAGCGATGCCTAAACTTTGATATCGTGATTAGTTCACATGACTGTTGAAGAAAATGATACTTAATTTAGAGAGAATAATTAAAAGGGCAAAACGATCATTTATGCTCGTACCTAATTATCGGATCTTGGATGGAGATAAAACACATATACGGTAAGTCAGAGTAAAGTATTATAGATTTATTGACTTTTGTAATCTTGTACATTTCAAGAGTTCAGTCCTTTACTTTTAGTGAAAAAGTAAATACTAATAATTGAATTGGGTGGTCTATGATCAACTAAACATGATCTAATTAATGGAGCTTGGATAATATA